GTGCCTCACCACCCTCTGGCTGAAAAACTTCCTCCTCATATCCAACCTAAACCTCCCCTGTCTCACTTTAAAACCATCCCCCCTCGTCCTATCACTGTCTACCTGGTTTGAATGGGGAATCTGCAGAGGGCCCTTCCAATGCCTACAACTCTGGGATTTATTTATTATGTCTTCTAGCATTCTTCACATTTAATTTCCCAGCTCACAATATTAGGCAGATTATGGGGAGGAGAAAGAGTTGCTCAAAGCTAAAATATCAAAAGTACCAGAATCTGTTATGAATCTGAAATCAGCTGGTACCAGATATTGCAAATGCAATTGATTTGCAGTGGGCTGTCAGTTTTGACCTACCGGAATGTGCCAAAAACATCACTACAAAGCAGATGGAATGGTTTGGAATGTCTTCTCACATTTGTTCATCTCTGGTCTCTTCAGATCCGACAGCTGGAATCCACTGTCCTCTCCTTAAAGCATCAGAAGCATCAAAGCCAGTCAGGTATTGTCAAAGCCATAGAGCAGGAGAAACTAAGCTTGAAGAGAGAGTGTGAACAGCTACAGAAGGAGTTGTCCTCTGCCAATAGGAAGGTTAGTCCAAGTGCTTAATCTGGGGTTGGTGTGATGTGCAGCCACTCATGACTTGCACGTTGAATACAGCAGATAAAATGAAGCTGCTGCCTTTCTAAGGAAACCTCTTGTCTTCTACAGATCAGTCAGATGAATTCTGTTGGACACGAATTGGAAACAAGCTCAGAAAATGAAGGGCTAAGGAAAAAGCAGGTCAAGCTGGACGATCAGTTAATGGAGGTACTTTTCAATAGGTGCTGACTGCACTGACGGTAGTGTGGAGGTTTATCACCAGTGTGTCACTGAATCTATGGATTCGTTTACAAAACGAAAGTAAAAAAGCTTTCCTCTTCAGGGAAAACGATCAAAACTGGAAGAATTGATGTCTGTTAATGTTAATGTGATCTTTCATGATCAGTGTGTGTGATTAATGTGCTTCTGTGAAGCACAGTGTGCTTCATGGTGACTTGTGTGATGTTCCAGATACAAAGTCAAACGGGAAGAATTTTGTTTCTGTGCTTGAGGCAAGGCTAACACTTTGTTCTTCCTTCCTAAAACATATCACCTCAAATTTCCTAACTAATATTTGTCTAATGCTGCTCTTAATGTAGAAGCCTGTTCTTATTTACCATGAGAATAGTTGGGTGAATGGAAGCCTTGCTTAGCAGAACCTCTGAGCTGTCTCTGCAATGAACTTGATGGTCTGAATTTCAGTTTAAAGCATTTTTAACTTGTTCCATAAATGAGACAGTTTTATAGATGAGGCTTTTGCAGCACTGTTTGTTGAAATACCTCATGGTTTTCATCAAGGAAGCAAACGGGAAGCATGTTATGTTGAATATACTCTGTAATTAGCTGTAAAATTATTATAAACTTGATTAGAAAAATTTTGGCAAGTCGTTGAAAACAGTTTTATTTCCTGTGCCTTTGCTTCATGTATTTCCAATTATGCTTTGGGAAAAATCCCAGCTCTGTTGAACTCTTCAGTCTGAACATCGAGTATGGAATTGGGTTTTCTCCCAAAGCCTGTAATTCAAACATGCAGGACTTGTTATTTCTGATAACATTATCCCAGCAGGGGTGTATAACGTTCACTTAGCACTTTGTGACCTCTAACTTTCTCTTTTGTGCCTGTTCTCCTTTTGTCCATGGCTAACCTGTCTAGAACTCAGTGGTTGGAACTAGCAGAGAAGGGTGCAGTTCTCTTTCTGAAATAGTGTGCGAAGGTAGAGCAACCATTTTCAATGTACTACCATAGCATGAAGAAAACATTTTGGAATGGGTTTTCTTCTTTACTCCATGCATCTTTTGAAGTAAAGGAGCCATTATTCATTTTAATGTAACGGCCTTCCTTTGGCAGCTGCACTAACCTGTTGGGTGCAGGCTGTGATTGGATTCTATAGGAAAACATTGGATATTCCAGAGGGGTTGCAGTGAAAATGGAGAAATGACCGATTGCGTTCAAAAGGATCAAACTGATCACGAGAAAATGAAAAGTGGCTCCATCCCTTCCTTCTCACCCAGTGACTGTGAGGCCTGAAGGTGTCCTCGTGTTTGCCTCTGGCCTTTTGCATGCCTTTTCACCAGACTGTCAAGTGTTTCCCTGGTACTGACTGATATGTGCTCACACTGTGTCATCCCTGATAGTTTAGTGAGCTCCTTACTGTTCCACTTCCTTGTGGAAGATGAATGTGGCAAGACTATGTTGTTTTCATGAGCCATTAGCAACTTCATTTTGAGATGTCAGCATTTATTGGTGTTTCCTCAGCTCTTCCACCCGTGTGTTTGACAACATCACATGAAACCCTGTACAAATCCCATTCAAATTTCATTATTTCTGCTGTTTATGCTGTTGGTAAAAGAATAGCTTCGTTATAGGCAAGTTGATTCAAGAGAATTTCCTGATACATATTTATATATTCTTTAAAAAAAGCTTTTTTGAGATACTTATACTACTTTAAAATACCTTCTAAGCCTATATTCAATTTATTTGAGCCAGCAGAGGTGGGCAGATGCTATCACAGCCACAGCACTGATGTTCTTATCACATTTCAAGCCCCTCTCTATCTCCATTAGGGCTCCACCATTGGATACACCATTAGAGCAGCACCCTCGATGGAATTACACCATTATGTCAAGTGCTTATAGTTGATTCCATTATAGATGAACTCAATAACGGAACTGTGATGCTAATTGAGGCCTTAATTACAGCACTTGTGAAAGGAAAAGTAATACTGCTAATGTAATCTCACCTTTTCCTAAGGGACCAGAGTAATGGCTATGAGATAACGGGAGGATTTTGTGATGTGGTTAGCTGGCTCTTACAGGAAGAATGATTTTTACACGAAGAAAGCATTAATCTTATGCAAATGCAAGCTGCAAATTGGCTTGGCTGAAACTTAAGTCTCAAATTTTAACAAGCTCTGCTTGTGGCATGACTCTAAATGAGAAACATAAAATGTGTGAGGTCTTCTGTTCCACAGAAGGCTCCTAAGTAGTGAATTCAGAATACAAGGCAGCAGAGAGCATAAAGATACTTTGGTCACTCTAGACTGTATGGAGAATGTTTAGCTTTTAGGATTTTGTTTTGCTTTTTGAGGAGATTAAAGACTAGAAATAATCAATGCTGGTGGGTGACACCTTCAGCCTGCCTCATGCTGGCTTGGATATTAGGAAGAATTTCTTCTCTGGAAGAGCGGTGTGGTTGGGACAGGCTGCTCAGGGAGGTGGTGGAGTCACCATCTCTGGAGGTGTTAAGGGAAGGGTGGGTGCAGGCTTAGGGCCACAGTTAGTAGGCAGCATTGGTTGCAGGTGGATGGTTGGACTGGGGGATCTTAGAGGTCTTAATGATTCTATGATAATTCTATACCAGAGCTTTGATTTGTACCAAGATGTTGTTATTAGAAGAGTTGCAAGGGCTAAGGTTAAAATTGAAAACAAAAGTGAAGTTATAGCTCAGCACAGACCTGTTTAGGATTTTGCCAGAGTAATGCAGGCCTGAAGTTATGAATCAAAGCTCGATCTCCTATAGACTTTGCAGAACTGCATGTAAAGATGCATCTTTTCCATTGGGAAGAGTTTGTCTTAGCATCTGTTTCCGGCTTCAGACTGGCTTCCTTTGTGCACAAGAGATGCTTTAAGCTCAGTGCATCGTGTGTCATGCAAGAACAACTCCAGAAACACACCTCGAGCAACGCGCCGTGCTGCTCCCCCCTGACAGCCTGTCTTGTTGCCCTGCAGATGCGACGCTCGAGCAGCAGCGGGATGCTTAGCCAGCCCCTGCACCCCCGGGAGCTCCCACAGCAGGGCTGTGCCGTGGTGCCCAGGGAGCAGTTCCTGCAGCTCCAGCAGCAGCTGCTGCAGGCGGAGCAGCGGGGCCAGCGGTTGCAGGAGGAGCTTGAGAGCAGACCTTCTGAAACCAACATGCAGCAGGTAAGGCTCTCGTTTCTCTGCAGGCTTCAGTGGGGCGTTGGGTTCGTTTGGTGTTTTGGCTTTTGAGATCCGTTCTCCGTTTATGCCAGTTCGAAATTGGAATTAGTTGCATCAAAGCTGTGCACAAACAAGCCTTTATTCAGCACACGCAGCTTGAGCCGTGGTTCAGTTCTGAAGTCCCTTTAGTCTTCATGGCTCGCTCCATCCACATTCAACTGTTGGCTTTTCTCCTTGTCATCAATGTGCAGTAAGTGTTTGCAGTTGGCTTTTTATTTTCCCTAACATCCACGTCTGGAACCTTTGCTCTGGGAAATACACAGTGCACAGACACGCTGGCATCAGACATAAAGCATGAGCTCAGGCTGTTGCTGCCACATGGAGTTCTGCCACCTGAGACATGGCAGAGCATAATACAAGCAAGTAACCCTTTTTTGTGAGGTTTCCCATCTTCATTATTTGGCCACCATAGGACGCTGTTTGGAGGGCACCGTTCCTGTTGTCCTGAAACATCATCCCTGGTGTTTCTGAGGGAAAGCAATCTAATTCCAACAAAGATGCAGCCTCTGCACTCATTGGGCTGAGTCACTCCTCGTATTTCAACATGCAAGACTGAATGATAAGCAATAATAAGCTCTAGTAGCAAATTTTGCATCTCCCATGTAAAATGAGCCTTAAAATTAGGCTGCCAACCCATAGTTTTGCTTGAGTACGTGCTCAGCTCCTGCTTTCTGCAGGTCTTTTTCATTGGAAAAGTCAGGTGATGTTTTGGTGACTACATCCCTAAATCTCTGATGCTTTGGCTTTGGGCACGTATCTTAAAATAATAATAATATGACTTAAGATAAAGCCCTAAGTAACATAAATAAAAGGCTAATGTTTTTATTAACCTGTTAGCAGAAAAAAAACCCCACATTTTACACTCTCTTGCATTTTGTCTAGAGAAAAATTGGAAATTGATATATCTACATAAGCTTTAAGTCTCTGAACTTCAAAGATTTGACCATGTTAGTAGGTGTATTTTGGAAGGTGTATTATGGGGGGGAAAAAAATATATGTCCAGTAATAGTTTCTAAAGCTTACAGAACTTGCAGTGACTGTTTTAAACCACAGCATTAAAGGGAACAGTTCCCTGCAAAGGAACTTAACAGCAAAGAATGCAGGAGAGGAGGAAAAATGAGCTCTAAGTTTCTCTCCCTTTCACTGAGTGTGGATGGAGGCGCATTACTGATGTACTTGGTCACACATGTTGGAAAGCAAAGCATGCAGTTGAATTTTGAAATCAATAAAAGCTCTATTACAGCAGCAACATCTGCAGAGTGAATGTGCTGTGTGCATTGCATTAGAAGCAGTTTTGTAATTCTGCTTTTGAAAGCCTGAGAAGCAATTTGCAAACTAATCATATCCCAGAACCCGCAGTTGTACAGATGCACCACTTCTATTTCCCAGAACCTTCATGAATATAAAAATCCTTTCCCGGAGGTTTTTCAAGCTTTTGCTGTCAATGCACTTAATGCTTGTAACTTCTTTTTGCATCGATTTTTACTTAAAGTGAACAGAGGTGAACAAGGTTCCACTTTGGAACATCTACAGCTGTTTGTGTGGGCCCTACTACGTGGCTTCCTAAAGTCACTGTTGTGAAGCATTCATTATACAACTGTAAACAAGGGCAGAGTGGTGGATGCTTTAAGCTGGGACAAACCCAACTGCTTCTTTAAGCACACTTTTAATCCTTACTCTTTTCCTTTCGTCATCCTGAAGCAAACATCTGGTTGAGTTTATCCATTCCAATGTTCTCTTTAGCATCTTGGGAAATTGCATCCTAACCCCTCTTCACTGTCTTTTCACCATTGACTAGAATGTCATGGCATCCATGTTTTCTGCATCAGTTTATCACCTTGCTTCGCACTTTGCAGCTTTCTTCCATCTCCAGTCCTTCTGTGTAAGGCACCAAACTTACCCTCCTTTTTGGAATTTGTGTGCTCCTTTTGCTTTGCTTTCTTCATTACTTTTTGATCATGGCTACAGTGGTCTGTGTTCTCCTTTGCTTTACAGTCTGTGTTGAGCTGTTGCTTACCAAGCTCACTATTCCAGCATCACCCCATCAAAGCCCCTCATCCTTTTCTCCTCTGTTAACTTGCCTACCTTGTCCCAGACAGCAGCTGCCCAGCACTGCCACATAGAATGGCCTGGGTTGCAAAGGAGCACAGTGCTCATCCAGTTCCAACCCCCTGCTGTGTGCAGGTCGCCAACCAGCAGCCCAGGCTGCCCAGAGCCACATCCAGCCTGGCCTTGAATGCCTGCAGGGATGGAGCATCCACAGCCTCCTTGAGCAGCCTGTGCTGGGCCTTGCTCAATAGTGAATGCCATGGGCCCATCCCTGAGCCAAGGTTCCCAGAAGTTGCCTCCAACCTCTGCCAACCCGTAGTTCTGCTGGGAATACACAGAGTTGCTCAACTCCCCCTTTCTGCTGGTCTGCTTTGGAAAATTCAAATAACCCCTGACCAACAGCTTGTTCAGCTGTCCCAGCAGAAGGCTTGCAGCTAGGTTTGAGGAGGGGGTCAATGGGACTGTTTTTCACAAATGCTTTTTGGCCACCTGAGGCAATATGTAGTGGCAGATAATCTCCCCTTAACAAGTGTAACTGCTTTGCCAATGGCACTTATCGCTGTCACTGACCTTTTCAAATCCCCCCCCAAATGTGGACCAGTCCTCTTCAGCCTCCTGACCTCTAGAAAACACATCCCAAGTATTTCCTTAATTGCATTTGTGTAGCACTAATACAGAGAAATGTGATGTGGTGCTCTGCCTGCTTTCCCCTGTGTGTGTTTTTGTCTTGTGTTGCTTGCTTGGCTTGTGCTGCTGCTTTGCTTTGTGTACGTACGTATTTATAAAGACAACCTGGATATCAGGGTGAAGTGTCCCACTTACCTTCTCTCTCTAGGCCTTGCTACCGGAGCAGCGAGCAGTGCATGCAGATTCCTACAGGAGGATCGGGCACCTCTGACAGCTTGGCTGCTTACCACCTCATTCCTTGCCATGATACACACACACAAACACACAAACTGGCATAAGCTGAGAAACTTGAGGATCCTTTTTTTATTATTATTATTATTTTAAGTCTCTGCAGTGTTATTTCCTATTTATTTGCCCAGAAGTGATTTTTCTGGACGTTGTCAGCTGTTCTTTTTCATTTGTTGCAAATCATTTCTATTTATGTTATTTAAAATGTGGGTTTTCTCAATGTGGGAAGAGCCTATTTTTCTGAAATGGTACTGATTTTATATGAGACAAAGGAAATCTGGGGTATTTATGCTGCTTTTTTTTTTTTGTATAAGATGCCTAAACTTTTATATTGGGGAAAGATGACATTTTTGATGTAAATGCAAAATAAATGTTTTTTAAACATGACGTCTCTTGTCTTAATAGCATCAGTAGCCTCAGCTTTATGAACAAGAATTAACAAGTTTTAGACAACATTGTTGAATTTCTTCATGGATGGGGCCCTGGGCAACCTGAGCTGATGGTTGGAATTGGATGGGCTTTAGGGTCCCTTCCAACCCAACCGTGCTGTGGTTCTATCATATGACTTCTGGGGAAGATTTGCAGTAGAGGATGTGCTTTGATATGGAATATTCTGCTTCCCCAGGACGTGTTGGAGCACATTTGAGACAAGAGTTTCCGTAGTACTGAGATCCTATTGCTGGGACCATCAAGTAAAAAGGGTAGTGGCAGGAAAGGGGAAAATGATCAGACTTGTTTCTCAGATGATGTCCTTAGTGTTTTTCTCCTGTCTCCAAGTACTAGATTAAATGAGACTTATTACTAATAATTTGAGGTCAACAACTGCTTCTTTAAGGGTTATCTTTTTTGTTTATCTTTCTGAAAGCTTGAGCTGGCTTCTCCCATCAAGCATGAACTGTGAAATTGGGTAGAATGCTCTCAAATTATCTTTAAGCCAAAAATCAAGGATCGCGGACATTAAGACCATTAATCTAATTCTTAGATTCCATTGAACCACTCCCTCAAGGCTCCAAGTGTGCCCAGTACGATGTCTAATGCCCAGCCATGGTCTTGAATTCCAATTAAGTTACAGAAGATAACAAAGATGACTTTGCTGGAATTCCTTTTAGTAGTATGGATTAAAAGTTAGAAACGCACCCAGCCCAGCAGCACTTTAACTCTGCTTTCTGGGTGACACTAATGCAACATTTTTTGATGTCTTTATAAGCTAAGCAGTCATGCAGCTCCATAATTAGACTTAGGAGCTTCTGGAGTTCCAACAAATAGAATCTTGAGCGGACTTGAATCAATCCATCCAACAGGGTGTTTCTACAGCAGTTAAGATGAACAGCTGACTCCTCACAGTTCCGGTGTTTCTGACTTATTTGGGAGACTTGCATTCAAACTGTTGATGCAACAGGCATTCTCATAGAGTCATGGGATCACTAAGGTTGGAAAATATTAGGAGATCATCCAGTCCAACCATCCACTTATCACCAATAGTTCTCACTAAACTGACGTCTGTGGTTTGTTTTGATTGTAGTTAGGTTACCCACTGCCTCACTCAAGAAAAATAACAAAAGCACATTGGATTATTCAGAAGCATTAGCCTTATACAACTAATCAAATAAAGTAGAAATCAGGATCGAAATAATAATGTGCTAATTTGAATTTTGAACGGCCTTTGGAATGAAGAGTTACGGTCAAAGTAACAAGCCAGCATGACTGCCTCTTTTCTTTTTTTTTTCCCCTAATACAGATCAGCATCCAAAGAATGAAAAAGGGAATCTATCCAGGTCCAGTTATCACAGCTGATACAGAACTTAGAATTTTGTATTGATTTGTCTTATGTAAAGCAATCTAACATGTAACTTAGATTTAATGCCATGAATGTCCTTTAAACATCGCTTCCATGATCTGTTTATTAACTGTGTTGACTCTTTAAAATGAACACAAACGTGGAGTGGCAACACTTTTCTTCTGCATGAAGTGAAAGGAAGGATAGCACTGAGTGTGACCTGACCTTTGTGAACAGATTTCTTTTCTTTTGCTTTCTAGGGGGGCCATGAGCAGCTTCTAAAGATGATGGAAGAGCGGATGATGGATGTTGAACAGAAACTGAGGCTCGTGAAGAGGCTTCTCCAAGACAAAGTAAATCAGCTGAAGGAACAAGTAAGCCTTCTTGTCCTTTTCCCCAAATCTTCCCTGTTGCTTCTGTAAAAAGCTAAGCAGGCCAAAGCCACAACATTGCTCTTGCTGAGAAGAAAATTAAAGATGTTTTTCTTTGAGTTCTTCTTAGCCAACATATTTGCCCAAAACTTCACAGAAATTCAAACTGAAGTCTGAATTAATCGCTCATTAATTCCCTAAAAGCTATGCACGTTTGGTATGCAGGCACACTTAAAGTCAGGAAACAAGTGTAAAATTGGGCCAAGTATTTTAGCTGGAGAAGTTGCTTACAAAGGACTCAGGAATTTTCTGAAGAATACAGGGATTACAGAACTGATTTTTCCACACCCTCTGACCCAACACATCCTTTGCTCGATAAGATTTTGGGGTTTCTGTTCTTGCTCTGGTCTGTCTTCTTCAGAAATTCTCAATAGGGTCTTTTGTACACTTAGCAGGGAGTGACACGATAGCATTGGAGAGAACATCTGCCCTCTGTTGAGGTGCAATCTCCCCTCTCATTTTAAGGAGAAGCTACACCAGTGTGGTCTCATGCCAAATTGCTTCTCCAATGTAAATAGGCAGATGTCGAGCTGCTTTCCCTGATTTGATAGGGTGGCCCAAACGTCTGTGGAATGACCTGTGTGGGACCGATGAGCACGTGGAGCACACCTGTCCTTACAGGGCAAATGGAAAAGGGTCATTTGAAGCCCTCCAACATCTTTGTGATCTTTCAAGTTCCTTGCAAAGACTTTCCAGTTTCAAAACGTTCGTAGCATCCGTGATGATTCCGTAAACGTCTAGTTTGTAACAGATGAGAGTAGAGAATGAGAGGGCAGGTTGTCTGCCTTGGATACGTTAAAACGAAGGCGCTCAGCTGTGCCTCCTGACCATTTAAAAAAGCTTTTCGTTTCTCTGTTGCTGTTTGTGTGCTGAGTAATAACGTTTCGCTCACGGTTCAGCTTTCCAAGAACACCAAAGCAGACGCAGTGGTCAAGGATCTCTATGTTGAGAACGCTCAACTGCTGAAGGCTTTGGAGATGACGGAGCAGCGCCAGAAAACTGCCGAGAAGAAAAACTATTTACTAGAAGAGAAGATCGCCAACCTCAATAAGATCGTAAAGAACTTGGCATCCCCATCTTTCAGTTCAGCAGCTGAGTTAAGGTCATAGCAAAGCCCCGAAGTACGCCACAATCCCGTGCACTTTACTGGAATTGTAATATTTCAGCTTTTCACTGCGTTGCCTTTTTGTATTGATGAACCTTTAGTTAAGAGATGCCTCCAAGGGGTGGCAGAGCTAAATCCCAAGCAGACACTGCCTACAGAGATCCTTATGTTTATTCCCAAACTATTTTTCTGCTCAGTTTTGGCTAAAAGTAATCTTTGCTATGTAAAAAAAAAAAAAAAAAAAGGATGTTTTTCTAGGTTAACTTATTTTGATACTTTGGTTTTAATTTAAAACACGAATGCTGAATATACTGAATTGATTATTTCTATTTAGGCCGAAGCACAAACTGCTGGTATTGAACTAATGACTTTAAAACCCTTTTGGTTTTCTGGGATACTTCTTGGTCCAAACCTAGTAATATAATTATAATATAATCAGGCTCATCTGAGTTGGAAGGGACCTGTAGGTCTGCTCCAACTGGAACAGGGAACGAGGAGGGACATCTACAGTCTGAATACTGCTGATGGAATTGCTATTGAAAGCAAGACTTTCCCGGTGTTGTCTGTATCCTGCAATACGATTCTAGTTTCTGTAAAGCAATATGCTCCACTTCTGCATTAGGAATCTGGGTTATTCCTCATGGCTGTTTCTCCACAGAAGAAAAGCAGTCAAAGATGCGTAAATAGACTACTGCCTCCAACTGACCTAACTGTGTTTTATCTGGAGAAATGTCCCAGGTGGCAAATAAAGACTACTGCTCTTTTTTTATTTTTTTATTTTTTTTGAGAAATTGTACAGGCCTTTTTTTTTTTTTAATACAAAACAGTAGAAGAGTTTCTTCACCAAACAGAAGCGAAGAAATGTAAGTTGTGCATTCAGTATAGTGGTGGAATATTATTACACAGCTGGCAGAAGAAGGAAGAGGGGAACTTAGTGATGTGGCTCTGGGCAGCCTGGGCTGCTGGTTGGTGACCTGCACACAGCAGGGGTTGGAACTGGATGAGCACTGTGCTCCTTTGCAACCCAGGCCGTGCTGTGATCAGGCCTCACAGACCTCTGTCACTAACGCAGTGCTCTGTGTGATGTGGTGAGTTGCAAGGACGTGTCTTCTGTAGTGGGTCTGAGTACAGAAGCTAAGTTTGCAATTAACGGTGAGGAAACAAACTCGATGTGAATACAAAGAACTCAGGGAATAAGACATTCGTTTCCTTCAGTTTAATAGATGCGGGTGTTGATGTCAATAGATGGAGATTAACATGCGCTAGAGAGAGCAGGATGAACAGAATTACGTTCAGTCGAGTATTGCCTTCGTACTCCCTGAGCAACCTGCAGTGGTGCTGCAGTCAGGAAGGCTGAAGAGCACACAGTCCTGTAATGACAGGTGATAATTACACCTCCTATCTGACGAGTTCATGGGGAACGCAGGCTTTTTGGGATCACCTTCAGGAGTGAGATGGGCCCAACAGCAGTCGCTGAATGAGAGCTCACACGCTTTGGAGCTGGTTGTAACCAATTATTACCAATGGTCTAAATGTGATGCTAGCTTTCCTTACAAATGCTGGTCTCCATCAGACCAGTAAGGTGTACTTATTGTAAATAAAACCAGTGAAAGGGGCCATACTGGCAATACTTGAAACTGGACCTCTTTAAATATGCATAAATCGTGGGTGCAGGAGGGGAAGATGGGAGCTTTATCTCTGGGACTACTAGCAAGGTGACAGTTGTGACAGCATTTGTGACGTGGCAGCTGTCTCCTGGACATTGGGATGCAACTGCCCACACCCTGCTGGGCAACCTATGGAAGGTGACTTTCACTCAGCAGTGTGGCTGTAGGGGATGCTGCCTTTGTCTAAAGGGTTATCTGCCACTCAGAGGGCTGAGGGACTGAACTGCACTTGCTGGGTACGACCTCCTCTTCTCCTCCTCCACTGCCTTATAAGAAAAGACATACCATAGTGGCAGAATATCTTGGAGGAACAAAAATTTCCTTTTAAATTATTTCACTATTCTGCTGTTGTGAATGCCTGTACTGGTTATTTCTCTATGTAATCTCAGAGATTCACATATCTTGTAAATCTCCGCTGCAAAAACACGTTGACAAATAGCACTGACATGAGTTGGAGCTTGATTTTAAAATTTGAAGTTGAGAGATCCTTCTTTTAATATTGCAACAGGTTGCCCAAGGAGGCTGTGGATGCCCCATCCCTGCAGGCATTCAAGGCCAGGCTGGATGTGGCTCTGGGCAGCCTGGGCTGCTGGTTGGCGACCTGCACACAGCAGGGCTTGGAGCTGGATGAGCACTGTGCTCCTGTGCAACCCAGGCCATGCTGTGATTCTGTGATTCTGTATTAATCTGTAAGTGGTAACAGTTGTAATCATAGAGCAGTTTGAGTCGGAAGGGACCCTTAAAGGCCATCTGGTCCCACTCCCCTCAGTGGACATGGACATTCAGAACCCATCCTCTGATCTTGGATGTCTGCAGGGATGGGGCCCCACCACCTCTCTGGGCAACTTGTGCACTGCTTCATGCTATACCTCTGTGTGCGGGTACCAGGGCTGTGTGTTAGCAGTGTGGTAACTGAGCACACCTTGAACTATGCTTACCCTATGGAAATTAGCAAAGTTTCAAACTATTTCCAGGAAACAACACATGGTATGGTTCAGATGATCAGAACTGTGTTTGGAAATGTATTATTAGCTAATAGATACTAACACCACTTCATATGTTGTCCAGGAGTGAGGGGTCACTGTCCCTGGAGGTGTTCCAAAGCCATGGAGATGTGGCACTGAGGGATGTGGACACGGTGGGCTGGTTGGATTTGGGGATCTTGAAGGTCTTTTCTAACCTAAATGACTCTGTGATTCTACGAGAAAAAGGGAGCCAAGCTATAATGTTAGCACTGCAATACAGGGGAGAAGCAGAGAAAAGGGGTTCTAACTGTCCCTCTTCCCACCCTATCCTGCCTCCTTCTACGTTTCTTTCTTCCAAACATCAACCTAACCAACTGGAAAGGACAGGAGAAGGGTGCAGGAGGAAAACAGTGGGCAAAAACTCAAATCTCATTGGAATGCTTGTGCGTATGAATTCTCAGAAGTGCCTTTTGTCATTACGCATGCTGGAGCCTTTCTATGCTGTACTACTTTTGCTGCTGCAGGACAATTCAGGATAAACCCTTCCCAGGCGGGGGGATCGCTCACGGTGCTCCAACCAGCGTTGTGTTGCTTGTTGTGTCAGCTCAAGAAATAAGCAGCTCGTCCCACAAAGTCAAGGCTACTGAAAATAAGCATAGAAACGTGCAAACATGCAAAGCATTTGTGGTCTTTTGTGCATGAATGTGTCTCCGGTGCACTGCAGGCATTTTAAAGATACCAAAGTATTTAGTGGTGTGGTAAATCACTGAGTTTCTGGGCCTCCTTGGTACAGCAGGGCTCGGCAGTTAGGATATTAGTTACTTCATGGCCAGAAGGTGTTTTAAATGCTTTCAACTCTCACTTTATGAATCACTGTGAAAATCAAGGCATGTGGATATGCAGGGTTGGAGTTTAGGGAGGGGCAGAGCAATCGCACTCGTATCAAATGTGATGTGAGCAGAATTCACCCCATTGAAGTCCTCCGTGTCAATTTAGAATGGTATAAAAGCATTCTTTGCTACGCATACTCCCATTACCACTTCAGGTACAAAGAGAATGGAAATATTTCAATTCTGACTGACAAAAGAAAGGGTTGTAACATACTTTTAGCCAAATGACAGGCGAGGTAGAGCCGGGGACAGCCTGGGTCTGTCAAGTACAACACAAATGGCATCACCATCTCTCAGGTTTTCCACGACTGCCTGCTGTGTGAGATGCCACCACTGCTGACGTGTTTGCTGTGTAAACGGAGACGGTCGTGTATGTTTGTTTTCGTTGGGTCTGTTGTGATGTGCTGTCCTTACACCCCCATGTAAAGCAGGAGGAACCAACCTACGTGTTATTTATAACGAATGTAAAAAATAAAAAGGAATCACTGTAAGACTCTTGCTCGTGGCTGTGGGGTTGTTTTTTAGTTTGCTTGTTTGTTGGTTTTTTCCATCTTTTATGGAAATCGTACGGGCGGAAGGTTTGGATCTCAGAGGGTTTTGCCAACCGGAATGATCGCGGCCTCCCGTCCGCCAGGGGGCGCCGCGCCCGCGCCGCCGCGCCGCTCTATCCTCATCCTTCCTCTCGTCTCCTCCCCCCACAACGCCCCGCGCCTAACGGCACCCCGCGGCCGCGCCCCGCAGCCCGCCCCCCGCTCACGGCCTCCGCCCGCCGCCCTGAGCGCCTGAGGGGGCCGCGGGCGGCCCGGCCCTGCGCGGAGCGGAGCCGGGCATGCGGGCGGCGGGAGCGGGCCGGGAGGAGGAGGTGGGATGCTGTCGCGGAAGAAAACGCGGACGGAGCTCTCGAAGCCCGGCGAGGTGCAGGGGAAGTACGTGAAGAAGGAAACCAGCCCGCTGCTCCGCAGTGAGTGACCGAGCGCCGGGCGGGGCGGGGCGGGAGCGCGGCACGGAGCTGGGAGGGCTCGCGGTTACGGCACGGAGCTCGGCTGCGCCCTCAGCCGGCCGCCAGCCATCAGCACGGCGTGTGGGAGCCGCCCGGCGCTGAGCGGGGCGCGGCTGAGGGCTGCAGGGCGGGGAGAGATCAGTGCTGTGTGAATGGGCCTGGGGGGGAACAAAGGGTAATGGTTTGAAGTTGAGGGAGGGCAGATGGAGGTTGGATGTCAGGGGGAAGTTGTGTGCTGTGAGAGTGGTGAGGTGCTGGAACAGCTGCCCAGAGAGGCTGTGATGCCCCGTCCATCCCTGGAGGTGTTGAAGGCCAGGTTGGATGGGGCCCTGGGCATCCTGGGCTGCTGTGAAATGTGGAGGTTGGTGGCCCTGCATGGCACAGGGGGGTTGGAGCTTCGTGACCCTTGAGGTCCCTTCCAACCCGGGCCGTTCTGTGATTCTTTGATTCTCTGGGTGGGAGCTGTTTGTGTTGGCTTCTTTTGCTGTCAAAACTCTGCTTCTTTGACAATAGCTTCTGTGTGTGCAGGCTTTTGTTGTGCCAGTGCAAACTGCAGCCCCACCGTTATGCTGCTGTATGCATTAGAGGTGCTTTAAAGGGATTCTGGCATTAGAATGGAGTCACTTGCATGGTGTAAGTCAGGCACCGTAGCTAACCAAATACCATAAGTGTGTGCAGAGTTCATTTCCCTTCTCTGCCGTAACAGATCTGATGCCTTCCTTTATCCGTCACGGTCCAACCATTCCAAGACGAACTGATATCTGCCCTCCTGACCCGAGTCCTTCTGCTTATGGCTCTGGTGGAGATGGAGCTGTTTCCAGAAACCAGAGTTTCCTTCGAACGCCGGTGCAGAGGCCGCCACAAGAAATAATGAGGCGTGAAAGCAACAGACTGTCTGCGCCTTCCTACTTTGCTCGAAGTTTAGCTGATGTTGCTAGAGAATATGGCTCTTCCTCCCAGTCCTTTCTAGCAGAAACCAATTCGGTTTTGGAAAACGGAGATGCTGGCACACGTTGTTACTATTATGATCACTTCTATGATGCCCAGAGGAGACGTCAGTTGAACGATCGCTTGCATGAGGACTACAGGTATTACGAGCACAGCGGGGAGCTTTTCCAGAGGATGTCTCACAACCATGGGCGGCGCACCTCAGGTGAGGATGGGTTCATTGCTGCCCTTCACATGTCACTGAACAGCTTCAGGTACAGAGGTATTTCGTAGCATCACAGAACGGCCTGGGTTGCACAGGAGCACAGTGCTCATCCAGCTCCAACCCCTGCTGTGTGCAGGTCACCAACCAGCAGCCCAGGCTGCCCAGAGCCACATCCAGCCTGGCCTTGAATGCCTGCAGGGATGGGGCATCCACAGCCTCCTTGGGCAACCTGTGCCAGTGCCTCACCACCCTCTGGCTGAAAAACTTCCTCCTCATATCCAACCCAAACCTCC